CTCTCCACCTAGAGCAGGAGCAGGCCAGTACAGCTCGGCTCTGCCGGCTCCGGGGTCGATCTGCGCCCACGAGGGCCGCGGCCCTAAGAGTACGTATTTGAGGCAAGGCTTCTCCCGTGGCGGGCATCGGCGCCCACGAGCCCCGCTCAGGGCACCCGCAGGGGCCGGCCCGTTCACGCTCCTCTTCGCCCCGAGGCTCAGCCCCTCGCTGCCCAAAGCGCCCCCAGCCCAGAGACCCGGCTGGCACCAAACTTCCTGAGCCGCCTTCCACGTCCCCCGGGGCCGCAGGGATGTGCTGTCCGGGGCGCGAATAAGCTGCCCGAGCAACCTGCTGCCGGCACGGCTCTCGTGCCGAGCCCTGCGCTGTCGGGCGAAGGAAAGACCGGGGCTGGAGGTGAAGCAGGCTGTGATTTCTAGGCAAAGTCCCATTAACGAAACTGCTCGGAGGCATTGCGGTTCCTAGTCGAGTACTGCAGAGATGAAAGCCTTATTTACGAGTAAGATATATCTGCAGAGGGAGCAATAAACCGCAAAGCAAAGTGCGAAGGTTTGCAGCAAACGCTGTAAAGTTTTACGCTCCCGAAAACTAGGAATAAAAGATATACCCATTTGAAACAAAGCGGATGGAAAGGGTTTCCACAGGGCCGTAAAACAGCCTTATGATAGTTAATTGCTAGTTTCTTGCGCAGCACAGAAATTTAAACCAGGAAAAGAACCCTCGAAATCTCCATCCAAGAGCGGGAGGAAAGAAAGGAGAGCGAAAAAAGAGAAGAGCGCAGGGGAACGCGAACCTTTTGTTCGGGATCCTCTGCACCACGCGGAGGAAGAGGCGTCTTTTGTTCCGGCGCCGGCCTGCCCGGGCGGCTGCTCCCGCTCCCCGCCGCGGGCAGGAGCCTCTCGGGGAGCAGAAGCCACGGGGCGAGACCGGGGGCAAGATGCCGGCAGCGTGCCTGCTTACAAGTTACAAGCAAGTTAACTACGGTCATATCGATGTTCGTGCAACAGAGGAAAATCAGCTGAGCGTCCGCGCCTGCTTCTGCCCGCGGGAGGAAGGGGCAGAGGGAGAGGCACGGCAGCAGGGGGGTATTCCTCCAAGATCGACGGGCAGCTCAAAGAGCAATACTTTTGACCGAGTAAAATCCAGGGGAAAACTTGGAACGCTTTCCGCAACAACTGAGCCAAGCAACCACCACGCTTCCAACCAGCTCCACCAAAAGTACCGATGCCCTTCAGCAGTCTCCGCATCGCCACCGCACCGTCTCGCCAGACCCGCCGTCCCGCCGCACGCGGCCCCAGCCCAGGGACGCCCACCCGGGGCTGCCGAACGAGGCTCGCGAGAGAAAGACGCAGAATCTGCAAAAAGCCCCCGAGGAGCTGCTGCATTTCAGAAAATAAGCACGTTTTATCCTCGAAGGGCACAATTGCCTCCGCTTTTTCCAAACGACCGGCGTTTCAACAAAAGAACAGTTGCCTCCTTCTCCAAAAAGTATCCGAGACCAGAAGCTTTTCGGGTGCTTTCTTTGCACGTCTTCCTGCAACGTGAAGGAGGGGAGCATCTAAAGCTCAGCCCGGTAAAAAAGCACGGAGAAGAGAGGCAAGGGTGCTTTTGCTCCCACCCTGACAGCCACCGGCCCTCCCCGGCCGCCCCAGCTCAGCCGCGCCCCGGGGTCTGGCTTACCTCTCTCCCGGGGACGGGGACGCAGCAGGAGGGCGGGAAGGGTCCCGGGCTGGGCTGGAGCAGGCTGCGGGGCTCCGGCCCCGCCGGCCGCAGAGCCCAGGACCAGCCCCGGGGCTGCTGAGGCTTAAACCCAGGCGGAGCCCGGTGGCCGATCCTGCACTCGAGGCACAAGCCAGCCACTTGCCAACGGGCTCCCAGGCACCGGCACGAGCCGTACTCGCGGCAGATGCCGCGCAAAGCCCAAACCGCGAGCACCTTGAGACGCTGGAGGTGCAGGGACCTCTGCCGTGCCCCCCTGCCCTTTATAACTTCGCCAGGTGCTGCTGGCCCAGGTGATGGGACGAGGCCAAGGTGCTCCCGGTTGGGCTGATGGGGCACAGCCCTGGCCCATCAGCAGGGCTCCTCCCCTCCCGGCAGCTTGCTGCAGGCACTGCTGCTGGGTTGGTTTTTTTTTTTTTGGTTATTTTTTTCTCCCTGTCACGGCAGATTTTGTGCATTATCCCGGAAAGCAGGCAGAGCAACACGTTCCACGGTGTAAATATCGAAATGCTGTTTGTATCAATCAGAGAAGCACTTAGGTAGAGATGACAATGGAGCCCGCAGAGCCCTAATCACACACTTTGATTGAACCAAAAGTATGGGGGGAAAATGGAAATCAGGCGGCTAGCGACGAGGTTTCAATAGAGACGGAAAGCTGGAGCGGCAGAGCCGGCGGCGAGCGCCGGGCCGGCGGCGTGGGCGAGAGGGCCTGCTGAGCGGGGGCTTGCGAGCCCCGAGACGTTCCCCCGTTCCCCTCATAAATACCCGGAGGCGCTCTGGGTGCTGACAGCTTACGCTCTTATCCCCAAATCATGTCATTCAGTGAGCAAAACCGGGCTCTACGGACTGAAACGCAAGCGCTGCGCCTGCAAATGGCACCAGAAATGAGCCAAAGCCCCCGCGCTGCAGCCGGCTGCAGGGCTACGCTGCTTCCTATACCTCAGCCCGCCGTCTTAAGGAAAAACAGATGCTGAGCCGGGCAAGGGGACACGCATCTGGGCTCGGCTGTGGGCTCAGGCTGCTCTCTGAGCCCCGCGGCGACCTGGGCGATGCTCCGCACCGAGCTGGGCCCAGCCGGGCCGCCCCCGCCGTGGCAGGGCAGCGTTGCGGCTCATTCCCACCCCCAGCACTTTCCCTGGGGGCATGGGCCGGAGCGTCACCGAGTTTTCTTTTTTGGCATCAGCTTTGCCGCTGGCATCGTCCCTTTCGTGAAAGCATGCCCGTGCAGCCTGCTGTGCGAGTGGGGGGGGGTGTGAGACTGCATCTTGGCGTAGCGTGCAGCACCTCAACCGGTTCCTTGAGCTCCAAGGATTTAACCGGGGGTAAATTTGCCTCCCCTCCACCTCCCGTCCCTGGTGCCGGGCTGAGATTTCAGGCGGCAGGGACAAAACCCCCGGCAATCAATAGGATTTATCTTAGGGCTTCCAGCTGCGAGGCTGGGAGGGCCCGTGGCCTGCTCTGGGGGCTGACATCCCACGGGAAAGATGCCCCCAGGTCCGCTTGCTGTGGCCAGGGGGGCTCTCGCGGGGCCGGTGGCTTCAGAGACCGTTTCAGCCCGGGGGCCTGGCGCAGGAGTAGCAGGGAGCACTTGTTGTTGGCTTTGCTCTCAAAAGAAAACCCCTTTAATGCGTTCACCTTTCAAGCTGACATCGTTTTTGGGCTTCATATCTTCGGCAGCTGGTTCCGCATCAGCAGGTCTGGCCGTGCATGCGGTATGGCGAGCAGCGCTTGTTAAGCAACGTCACCTCGGGATCTAAAATAGCGCTGCTTAGTTTGAGGATGATACAGCAGCTCATCCGCCCGCCGCTCCTAATGACAGGTCTTTCAAAAAGCACAAGCCAATTGCATAGACTCGGTAGTCGGTAATGAGCCTAAAACTGTTTGATCATTTTGGCTCCTGGCCGTGCATGCGGTATGGCGAGCAGCGCTTGTTAAGCAACGTCACCTCGGGATCTAAAATAGCGCTGCTTAGTTTGAGGATGATACAGCAGCTCATCCGCCCGCCGCTCCTAATGACAGGTCTTTCAAAAAGCACAAGCCAATTGCATAGACTCGGTAGTCGGTAATGAGCCTAAAACTGTTTGATCATTTTGGCTCCCGCTGGGCGAGCGGGAGAGGCTGCGGGGACCCGGCCGCGCGAGAAGCGCGGGGCGCTGTGCCTCTTGGTGGCGGGGAGGGCGAAGGAGGCTGCTGCCACCGCGTCCCCTCCGCGACAGCCGGGACGGCGGGCGAGGGGCTGCGGGGTCTGCGGTGCAGGCAGGGACCCCCGCCAGGCACAGTGCGGGCAGGGGCGCGGGGCCTGGGGCCGGCTCTGGAGGCAAAAGCCGGGCGCCAAGGCTGAGAATTTTCTGGGTTTTGCGGCGAGGAGGTGAAACTGCCGTTTCCCAAAGGAAATCTGAAACAAATAAACGCAACAAAATCAATGAAAGAGAATGGGAGTTTTGGCAGGCCCTTCGCGGGGACCGGAGGCGATTCCTCCTTCCTACCGGAGAGACGCTGACGGTCCTCTGCCAGGGCACCTAATGGCCTTAAAACTTCCTTGCCACGTTACATTACCGAACACGCCGACTTCAATCTGCTCTTAGGAAGCAAAGGTGCTGGACGCGCTAACGGTGTTTACAGAGCTGCCGGGCTGCGACTGCCGGCGACACCGGCTCGCCCTGTGCTGGTTTATTGCCTTCAATTACTGTAAAGCCGGGGACGCGTAACGTAATCCCAGGGATTGCCGTTAATGACGGGCGTTCGTGCAGGGGCTCAGGGGCTGCTGGCGGGGCTCGATGGCGACTTATTACGGAAGAAGTCAAGCTCGGTGCAAAAACGGAGAGGAAGGAGCTCGGTCACGAAGGGGAGCGTGTCCGGCCAGCAGCCGGAGCGGAGGGCGCGGGAGGGAGGTTAAAAGTGAAAGCACGGCAGGGGCCCTGCAGCGCCCGGTGGGAGGAGCGAGCGGCAGAGCTTGCTCTCGCCAAGATGGACGCTCCAGCGGTCCAGAGGTTTACCAGCAGAGTTTCGACCCTCGGGAGGACTTGGAAGACTTTTACATCCGCAGCGACAGCCAAACGCGTTTCTGATGGAAAACCTGCGGAGCCTGTTTCAAATGTTCTCCTCGGGGGAGTGCCCCCCGCCCCGAGGTGCGGGGCGATGGCGGCCGGCGCCGTTTTGCAGGGCGGCCCTCGGGCTGCACGCTGCGCGGGGCGTGCCCCAACACAGAGCGCGCTGCCTGCTCTACATACACACACGCGCGCTTTTTTTAATACATACACACGGTTGCTGGAACTACCGTCAAATGCAGGCTGGGCAGGGGCGGCTCCGGCTCCGCGGCGCTCGGGATGGCATTCCGGGCTGGGGGAAGCACAGCCCGCCCGGGCCCTGGGGCGTTTCTGCCCTGGGGCGCGGTCCCCACGCTCACCGGGACGGCCTCCCCCACCCTGCACCGGACGGGCTGAGGGGCGATACCCTGATAGACGTCGGCCGCGGCCCCGCCGTCTGCCAGCTTCTGCCCGCTTGCGAGTGCTTCCAGGAGATCAGCGCCTTGGACTATGCGGGCCAGAACCGCCGGGAGCTGGAGAAGTGGCTGAAGGACGAAGCGGGAGCCTTCGACCGGAGGCCAGTGGTGAAATGCGTTCGTGAGCTGGAGGGGGACAAGTGAGGCCGGCTTCCTACCGCCCTGCAGGCGCAGACGCTGAATAACCACAGAACAAACCTTCATCTTTTCATTTGTTTATTTACTCGCTAGGGAGAAGTGGGTGGAGAAAGAGGAGAGGCTGAGAAAGAAGGTGGGGCAGGTTCTGAAGTGCGCAGCCCCACGGACCCCGTGTCCCTGCCTCCTGCGGCCCCTCCACCCGCTGCCTGGAGGCCGCCTGCCAGGAGCTGGCCACCTTCCGCAGCGCCCCGAGAAGCGTCGGTGCCCTCGCGAAGCCGGGGGGGCACCTGGTGATGGTGACCCTCCTCCGGGAAACCTCCTACGCCTTCAACAAGCAGGTCTTCTCGTGCCTCCGCCTGGGGAGAAACGTGGTGGAGGAAGCCGTGGAGGGCGCTGGCTTTGACGTGACGTTCCGCGAGGGCCA